GATTTTATCTTTTTTTTTTTTTTTTTTTGCTCTTTAATCTCATCGAGTACTGTCTAGTTCCTTTAAGAAACAAGCCACTTAAAGTTTTGGTCTTAAATAGAGCATGTTATTCTCTTTGTTGTGCTTACGTGCAGCAGGATAATATAACATCTGCAACAAATGGTCGAGGACCGGTTCCAAATACCCCGTCCGAGGAACCATCTCAAGCTTCCTCCAAACCAACAAAGGATACTGGATTGGGAGACGCATCAAAATCTATAGGACGAAAGGAACTTCCTGTGGTAATGATCAACAGAATTCTACAATCTGAGAACTCTTAAAAGTTTCCTTCTGGACAGTTTTCTGCCAGAAGCAAAAGGAAAAACCTAAAATGGCTTACCAAACTCAGGCAACTTGTAATCTGTCACTCATACTGTTCAGGACCTTTTCACATTTAATCACATGGCATCGGCTTCAGCAGTTCCTAGTTGGCAAGTGCGTGTACCTCATGGAATGGGATATGGCATGCAATTTTATCCAGCTGCAATGGTATGTCACATTCAAAACGGTAAACTTACTATCGAGTATTCTTAAAAAGTTTATCTTAGTACAACTTGAATTCGAAAATAGAACTTCTTTTACAGTCGATGGATCCTTCCACGAATTCTGCAAAGCCAAGAAACCCATTTGATCTTGGTGATGAACAGCCACAAATTCAAGCTGCAATGGTATGCATTCATCTGTTTGTGCCATGTTTGGTATATGCAGCTAAGTAGAACATACAAACTGTTAACTTATATTTCTCATATTGTCTAAAATCCTGTGTAGGTATTTACAGTCCCAGAAGTAAAAAAAATAGCAGCAGAAAAATAAAGGAACACTGAGAATTTTTTGCCCTTAAGCCTGGATGTTCACCCACAAAGGGCTAATCACTACGTTGAGCATCCACCTTAAGTGGTTATCGCTCCAATCCACTAGAATCAGCAAAAATATCAAGTGTTTAAGGATTACAGCACAAGAGATCTAAAAGATCTAGCCCTCAAACTTTGAAAAACACACGTATTCTTACCTACGTAGATTACACCAAAGTAACCTATACCAAATACTTAATCAGTGAGTAGAATCATCACAAGAACACTGTAATCTATACTAGATCTCACCAAGAACACCTAGAACCCCAAAGATTACAGATGAAAACTAAGACATTTCAGAGAAGGGACGAACAGAGAATAGGACTCACGAAAACCCTAGAAATCTCTCGAATTATGCCACAAAAAAGGAGAAGTCAGGGTATATAAAAGGTCACTTGCATCCAACGGTTTAGTTGGCAACGATTGGCACAATCTCAGCCATTTATCATAGGTGTGCTTTTAAGTAACGCGAGATGTGCACAAGAGGCCAAAATCGGGTCACATAGCATTCTTAAAAAGGCCCACTTAATTGGGCTGCATCATTGGGCCTCGAAAAACACTCAAATGTCGAGCATAATTTCAACATTCTCCACCTTGCTTGACATTTTGGGTTTCTTCTAGATTAGAGGATAACTCTTTCTTTAGGTTTCATTTGCTCTTATTTCATGCAAAAAGAAAAAAAACTTTAATTAGTAACAATATTTTTGAGATTTAAGCAATCCCTAAATTTATGTAAAAGAAGTATCTTTGTTCCCATATCAGCTGGATTACACTTGGTAGAAATCTTATCAATTTTTATGATTTCTTTTTCTATGATATCTCTTATGAAATAAAATTTCACATCTACGTATTTAGTTCTATCATGAAAAATTGGATTTCTACTAAGATGTATAGCTGATTGACTGTCAGAGAATATAGTAGCATTATTATTAGAAAAACCAATTTCGTTTAACAGATTTTTCACCCAAATTCCTTCCTTTATAGCATATGTAGCTGCAATGTACTCAGCCTCTGTTGATGACAAGGCAACCAATTTTTGCAGCTGTGATTTCAACTTATGCAAGTATCATTTAGAGTAAAAACATATGCAGATGTTGATTTCCCATTGTCACAGTTACCAGCAAAGTCTGAATCAACATAACCTTTGAATTTTTTATCCCTGTTTTTCCTTTACTAAACATTAACTCTAAATGTGATGTCCCTTTTAAATACCTTAACAACCATTTCATTGCTTCCCAGTGATATTTACCTGGATTACTCATGTATCTACTCAAGACACTAATCGCAACAGCAAGATCAGGTCTAATACAAACCATGATATACATAATTGATCCAACAGCATTTGCATAAGGCACCTTTTCCATTCTATTTCTTTCTATTTCAGTTTTAGGACACTGCTCTATAGAAAATTTAAAATGGCTGCCTAAAGGTAGAGTGACTTCTTTTACTTCATTCATAGAAAATTTGTATAATATTTTTGAAATATAAGATTGTTGAGTAAAGAACAGATTGTGATTATCTCTATTTCTCCTAATTTCCATTCCTAAAATCCTCTTGGCAGAATCTAAATCTTTCATTTCAAATTCTTGTTTTAACTTTTGTTTAGTGTGTTTATCTCAGTTGAATTATATCCAGCAAGTAACATATCATCAACATATAACAAAAGATAATAAGAATTAGGTCCTCCATTTCCTTTATAGTAAAAGCAAGGATCATATTCACTTTTATTAAAATCAAGGCCTTTAATAAAAGTATCAAACCTGATGTACCATTGCCTGGGGCTTGTTTCAAGCCATGGAGAGATTTCTGCAAAAGACAAACATGATTTTCTTTGCCTTTCTGTTCAAAACCTCTAGGTTGAGTCATATAAATCTTTTCTTCTAAATTGCCATAGAGAAAAGCAGTTTTCACATCTAGTTCTAATTCAAAATTAAAATGTGAAACGAGGACAAGTAAGATTCTTAATAGAGGTATATTTGACTACATGAGAGAAAATTTCATTGTAGTCTATTCCTTCTCTTTGGTTAAAGCCTTTTACAGCTAATCTGGCCTTGAACCTAACATTTCCATTCTTTTTGTCACCTTCCTTTATCTTATAGGCCCATTTGCAGTCAATAATTCTCTCTTCTTTAGGTTTAGATACCAAAATCCAGGTCTTATTTTTGGTTAATGAAGGCATTTCATCCTCCATAGCTAAAAGCCAATGCTTTGCATTCTTTCCTTCAATAGCCTTTTCATAAGTTTCAGGCTCATTGTCCAAAAAATGTTGCAAATTAAGTGCAGTGATAAAATTAAGTCCACTATATCTTATAGGTGATCTAATTTCTCTTGTTTCTCTATCCCTAGCAAAATGGTAATCATCTAAGGGATTTGTTTGTTGTTCAGGTTCAGGAACAGGATGAACAGGTTCAGTATCCTGTTCCCGAGGTTGCTCCACCTTAAGATGATTTTCATTTTCAAGGTTTGGATCCCCAGTAGTTATTTCAGATTGCAAGAAATACCTATTTTTATCAGCTTTAGTGATTGTAGTACATTTTCCTTTAATACAAGGAAAGTCCATTTCATTAAAGCTGACATTCCTACTAATTATTACTTTATAACCTCCCTGATCTTTTAGTCAAATTCTGTAACCTTTAACAACTTCTCCATATCCCAAAAATATACCTTTCATAGATTTGGGTTCTAATTTTCCTTCATTTTGATGTACATATGCTGCACATCCAAAAATTCTAAGTTTGGAGTAGTCAACAGGATGATCATTCCAAACATGGTCAGGTGTATTATAATCTAGCGATGTTGTAGGACACTTACTTATTAGAAAGGAGGCAGTTTTCACAGCTTCCCCCCAGAGCAGTTTTGGAAGACCTGAACTTATTAACATACATCTCACTCTTTCTAATAGGGTGCTATTCTGCTAACCCATTCTGTTGAGGTGTATAGGTAACAGTCCTATGTCTTAAAATCCCATTTTTCTTACAAAAATTATCAAATTCTTCATTGCAGAATTCAATTCCATTATCAATTCTAAGAGCTTTAACACTTATTTATTTGATTTTCAACAAGAATTTTCCAAGTTATAAAGCTTTGAAAAGTATTAGATTTATTTTTCAAAAGTATGACCCAATTTTTCCTTTAAAAATCATCAACTATCAACAAATAATATTTAAAACCAAAATAAGTGGACACAGTAGTGGTCCCCATAGATCTGCATGCAAGTAATCAAGAGTAGATTTAGATTTATGGGTACCAACAGAAAAAGGAAGTTTCTTTTGCTTTCCATATATGCAGTGTTCACAAAAAGACATCATTTCTATCTTATCTTTTCCTAGGACACCTTATTTCTTAAGAACATGTAGGCTCTTATCACTTATGTGCCCCAACTTTTTATGCCAGATTTCAGATTTAGGATACATTTGCAGCAATGTTTTGATTCTTTAGATGTATAGCCTTTAAAACATATATACCATTTGATTTTTCTAGTTGAATAACTTTTGCAGAATTCTTTTGAAGTGATAGAATTCCTTTGGTTATGATTGTATTAAAACCTTAGAGATTAAATTTCTCTTTAATTTTGGAATATATCTAGCTTTATTTAGGATCAACACATTTCTATTTTCAAGTTTTAAAATGATCTTACCAATGCCTTTAATTTTGCAAGAAAAATCATTTCCCATTATTACATGTCCTCCATTAATTTGATAAATATCAGTAAAATATTTTTTATAGGGTGACATATGGAAAGCACATCCAGAATTAAGAATCCAATCATCTTTCACTGGGAATTGACTAGTCACATAGGCTTATCAATTTGAGGCTGCAGCTTCTTCATAAGCTATAGCAGCTTTACCTTCAACCTTATTTGTTATTTTCAATTCCTCAATTCTTTTTATACAGTCTTTAATATAATGACCCATTTTACCACAAAAATAACATTTTCTACCTTTGGCCTTACTGTTATTCTTATTAAATTTCAATTTGCCCTTCTGAAAAGTTCCAATAAAATCTTTTGGTTTTTCAAAATTTTTGTTCACATTTTGATTGAAATTATTTTTCTTAAAGGAAGAATTTCCTCTTTCATTATATCCAACTCCAGTTGTGGAGGTTTTGAATTCACTTTTGAATTCTAACTCCTTATTCCTCAAGGAAGTAGTGATCATATCAACAGTTACGGATGTTCTACCATAGTCAAGGGCATGTTTCACTTCTTTATATTTGTCAGGCAAAGATGACAGTAAGGCCACAGATTTTTGATCACTAGAGAAAGTTTCATCACTATTGGTGATATCTTGTGATAGTTTATTAAATCTATCAAGATTCATTTCAAGATCACTATTAGGGTTAAATTTAAAGCTGAAGATTTGTTTCCACAAGTAACATTTATTGGGAAGAGTTTTGGTTTGATAAAGAGATTCAAGCTTTGTCCAAATTTCAGGTGCAGTTTTTGTTTTTCCTACCTCTCTAATCACACTATCAGATAAATGCAAGAAAATTGTACTCCAAGCAATTTCAACTTGACTAGTCCTCTTATATTCAGTAATTTCAGGACCCATGATTCATCTATAGCTTTCATACATCATTGTTGCATTAAAAGAGCCTTCAACTTTTGACTCTAGAGACTAAAGTCACCATTGCCGTTCTAGATTTCAATAACAATCTTAGTACTTGCCATATTTAAAAAATTTTAACAGACTTTTTGGCCAATGCAAAGTTGAGATATGCAATGTGAGAGAAAAGCAAATTTTATATGCATAGGTAGATACACAAAGTGTTGAGTGCAATTGATTCTCACACAGATGCACAGAATATACAACACACACAGCAAATAAATCAAGTAACCAATAAACCACAGAACAATTACTTTTGGTAGACAGATTTCACAACTAATCTTGAAGAAGCCGTTGAACCCAGCCCCCTCAGATTCTAGGGTTCTCATATGAAACCCTAGACAAAGGTAGATCCAGGTGGGCTTCAACCAAGAAAAGAAAGAACTATCTACAGGAATGAAAAAATTAGTTTAAGGTTAAAAACTTGTTACCAAAATCGTCTCAGACCAATAGTGTTAAATAGTTAATACCAAAATTATTTTACTTTTCCACCAAAGCAGTGATCACAAACTCCTTTAAAATATGGATCTATGAAGATCAAGAGTTTTGACCATCAAGAACACCGCAAAAGGCAAGATCGAAGATTATATGAACAGATCGAAGTGCTCTGATACCACTGTAGATATTTACAGTCCCAGAAGTAAACAAAATAGCAGCATAAAAATAAAGGAACACTGAGAATTTTTCGCCCTTAGGCCCGAATGTTCACCTACAAAGGGCTAATCACCACGTTGAGCATCCACCTTAAGTGGTTATCGCTCCAATCCACTAGAACCAACAAAAATATCAAGTGTTTAAGGATTACAGCACAAGAGATCTAAAAGATCTAGCCCTCAGACTTTGAAAAACACACGTATTCTTACCTACGCAGATTACACCAAAGTAACATATACCAAATACTTAATCAGTGAGTAGAATCATCACAAGAACACTGTAATCTATACTAGATCTCACCAAGAACACCTAAAACCCCAAAGATTACACATGAAAACCAAGAGTTTTCAGAGAAGGAACGAACAGAGAACAGGACTTACGAAAACCCTAGAAATCTCTTGAATTATGCCACAAAAAAGGAGAAGTCAGGGTATATAAAAGGTCACTTGCATCCAACGGTCCAGCTGGCAACAAGTGGCACAATCTCAACCATTTATCAAAGGCGTGCTTTTAAGTAACGCGAGATGTGCACAAGGGGCCAAAACCGGGTCATATACCATTCTTAAAAAGGCCCACTTAATTGGGCTGCATCATTGGGCTTCGAAAAACACTCAAATGTCGAGCATAATTTCAACATCGTGCAATTCACTTACTGAACAAGCCATTAATTTTACTGAAATATCAATTTTGCCAACAGAAATTCATGCACGTTAAATGATTTCTTCATGTTATGTTTACAGTTAGGAAAATTTATTGAGAACCACCTAAATCAGTGAACTTTTAATAGACTTAAGAACTTTAACCTAATAAAGTATCATTAGTAGTACAATTTCTAAATGCTGGGGTTCATGTGGTACTTATACACACAGTTCAAGACCATTTAATTGATTATTTTGATATTTTCTATGTCCATTAATTCGTTGAAAGCATCGTATTCATAACCATTAATCAGTTTGATACAGTATTCATAGGAACGTGATCCATGAGTTTCCTTCTCCAACATAAGAACCTTGGAAATTATTCCTTTTTCGTTTTCTTTGGTTTAGTTTCCGGCCATGGAATCTTTGCATGGAGCTCTACCTAACATGGCACCTCTAGTGGGTTTACAGCCTCATCCATCATCGCCTTATGCATCAGCACTGGCTTCACAGGTTTCCCCTTATGGGGTACATATTCCACCTGGTAATATTGTTCTATTGTTGTCAGTTAATTTAAATATATATTCACACATAAAAGTTGATCCCAACTTTGTCGATATTCATGTGAATCCCATAATTCCAGGAGCATACACAGGGCAGCAATTACTCCATAACCCGCAGCTTACTAGGTATGTTTTGGATTTCCAATAATTCGTTTTCGATAATCTTGCATTTTCTCAATGAACACACAATTTCAATGGTACAAGTCATGTTCAAAATCCTTGATAGTAGAACTGTACTAATCTAGTGTGATTTGGAGTCGTAACAGAAAGCAATAGGTGACATGTTTAGAGAAATATGCTAGAGGGCACTGAACTTTAAACTAAAATTTCATGTTGGTCACAGAGCCTCATTTTATGTTTAGTTTGTAACTAAACATAAATTTTATTCCAATTTGATCACTCTCTCAATGTCCATTAGTTTGACTAACGGAAATGGTGACGCGACAATCTAGTTATTTGCCAATTAGGACACTGCATCAGCTGCATCGTTAGTTATTAGTGGACGTGGAAGGAATGACAAGATCGGTGGCCAAGTAGTTTGACTAACAGAAATAGTGACGCAACAATCTAATTATACGCCAATTAGGCTGTTGCATCAACTGTACGTTAGTTATTAATGGACACGGTTGGAAAGACCAAATTGGTGGCCAACTTGAAACAAAGTTTAAGTGTAGTGACTAACCTAGAAGAAAATGAAGTTTAGCGACCACCCGCGCTTTAAGCCTGACATGTCTGGGGGGCGCACAGGATGGGCTCATATTGAGCCAACAGAAGATGACATTAAAGTGAATCTAACCACCATGTCCTTTTCCTCATAATGCTTAATTGCTTTGGTCTTCTTGGAGACGTGGATATGCTTCCATGCATATTCATCAAGTTTCTCATTTGTATTTCACTTTTTGAGATCCTTTGATTGTGTTATGTTTTTCCTTCATAAATTATTAACAGTTTTAGTCTGTTATCGCAGACCACAAGAAATTAGTCCTAAGTTTGGCAGTGGTGAAGATGCCTTTGCCTCCCTAAACCCCGTTCAAAAGTCCAAAGGAAGAGACTCGTCTCCGGCTCCACCTTTTCCATCAACTGGAGGAAATCCATTCGGATAGTTTCTCGAACAAGATGGCTATGCCATGGTCGACTACATACAGCAAGTTTGGAATTTAATTTTCAAAAAAAGTTAAATTATTAGCTTAGCCAAACATTTTTAAGTTTACTTTATATTGTAGAACATAAAAAATGGAGCAGAGGACACTATTATATGTTTAGACAAAAGTTGTATATCATGGGATGATAGTGTAAATTTGTAGAGCTTGTGTTTCAAATTACAATAGACTGATATATAGTAATTTTTTGTGGATTTTAACAAGCACACACACACAAGGTTACCAATAATCCTTATGTAGGAGCTACATTTATTTTGTTTTTGGTACTTTTGTTGGCATTATAAATGTCTAAATAATCTCATATGAGATGTCACGTTATCAATATGTTGGTTAGGTTGGACCGTATCAGTAATTTTGGACTGAATTCAATTTTCGTGGGGTTTATGATTTAAAGTTAAGAGACTATTGAAGTTCAATTTAAAGTCTATGGATATTTTTTGCACATTGTGTAGTATGGGTATCAAGTTTTTAGAATTATTCTTAGTGTATATCGCAGGGGTGCCTTATGGACACCCATATATACCCCTATGTACACAAAGAATAATCCAACTTTTTATGCTCGACAATTTTAATAATGTGTATCGCATGGCCAATATATCCCTCGACTAAAAGTAGATCTAAAAAGTTCGCTGGCGATAAAATAAGTACGATCAACCTAAACACAATCAAGAAGAGGAGGAAATGTAGGGCAAGATAAATATATATTTATGAAACCTGCAGAGAAATAAATAATACTGAGAACGTGTTAGCTGAGAAATAAATGTACTACCTTGCAGTTGCAGGTGAATAAACTTCTTATACAGTAAAATGTCGGCAGGGAACTCAAAAGGTTCCTGTTTTGTCTATATATAAGTAATATGACGTTTTTCATGGCCAAGAAGTTTGTGCAGTAGAAAAAAAAATAAATAAATAAAAATAGAACCACTTTGAAGTAAGCCTCGCACGAGGCAGACTGTGTCCGGGTTGCATTTGTTGGGTATATGCTCAAATCAAATGTATTATTGGACATTACATTTTGAACGAATAGACTAAGAAGAATTATACGATAGACTAAGAAGAATATTGGAACAACTTACTTTGTTATCGCTCTGATATTAATTTGATGGGGAAGCGATAATAAAATTATTGCAATAAGAATTATATAGTAATTAAGAACGATATTGAAACAATCTTGTCTTGTATTTATTGGATAATTATTGATTGTTATCAAAAAGTGTACAATGTCTCTATAAGTGTACAACTGATTGTTATCAAACAATTTTTCCATCCAACTGACACTTGACAACAATGCAAGTGTCAATCGAAGTGTCAAAAATCAGTGTACAAATAGCAAAGTTCTTATATTTTTAGGCAATATTATTTTCTACTTTTACTAATACTAGAAAAATAAAATAAGGAAACTAATAAAATTCTAATCTAAAAGAAATTAAAAATCCTAGTATAATCAATAAATAAACTAGAAGTCCTATTCTAAATTAAAAATAAGAATGAAAAGATAGAATCTATTAAAACTAGATATCTTACTCTAAATATCTAACTTTTATCCTATTCACAATATGATTGCCCTACATAATTTTTTTTCCGTTTTTATTTTTTTTTATTTATTATGACGGGGGAACCCGCAACCGCTACCCTTCGGGTGCGCACTGGGTAAATCCTCAAGTTGACGCAATAGCCTGCAAACCACGCCAATCAAGTAAACCGCACTAAACAAGCCTTGTGCGACAAATAGATATATAATTGATCATATATATTATTGTAAATTGAGTACCTAAGTTGTTAAATACAGATAGATATATAATTCATATACACTACCCATACGGCATTTAGCCTCACACAAGCCATAGAAATAAAAACACCCGTAAGCTCATTTTTGCACGGCTCGCCTTGGGACTGGTCTATCAGATGTTACGGGCTGGTTCAGGCCAGTTGGCAGCTGGGATTGACTCTAACTACATTGACTACATCATAAATGATTGGATTAATGAATCACCAAAGTAGTTGGTCTATTGATCTATATACATAGTGCTTTCTCACACAAAACATTTCAAAATCGAACAAATATATATACTTAAAGGGTACGTAGAAGAGGAGAGTGCGGCTATGGAGAGGAAAGGTGGCAGCATGGTGGCGATTCTGATGGTGGCGATGGTAGCAAATTGTGTCTCTGGTCAGAGTTTATATGCTTGCTGGGGAGGATGCTACAATCAGTGTTTCCTCAGCAGTGGTGGAGTTCAACCACAAAGGTTTCCATGCTATTATCAGTGTTTAAATTCCTGTGTTCCTCGTTCGGCAGCAGACAATCAGTACTATTGCCAGATTGGTTGTTCACTGGAACTCTGCAATCCTGCCAGTTACGGTACTACTAAAACTAACTAACTCTCTCTCTCTCTCTCGTTAAACTACATAATCTAAAAGTTCGTCTATCCAAAGAACTTTGAATATGCCAATAATTTCTAAAAGTTTAAGCTATGAGAAGGGACACATATTTTTCTGAGTTTTTTTCTTCAAAACGCTGTCAAGTAGCCCGATCCTTTTTATCAAGTGTGAATACGTGATTATTACATGCAAAATTTTCATAAACAAGTGACGACTAGAACTGATCTTGAGTCCTTTGTCTTTATACCGCATTGAATCGCCTCATCTAAAATGTCTAAGCATATGAACAAAAACATATTTATCTGAATTTTATCTTCAACGTAAGTGTTCAGTGTGGCTGTTTTTCAGAGAAATAGCCTAATCGGTATCACAACTACCTTGCAAATTTTCCTATTTCCTAAAAGTCTAATACAGAGGAAATGTGAAAAAACGGCACTTTAAATTCTAACTTCTGTGGTTGCAAATTGATTAGGCCGGTTTCCCTCTGATTTTCTAAAATGAATAGTAAAATAGTGAATTAATGTGTTTTTCCTTGGCAGACGGTGCAGCAATGGACAGATGCTTTGGTAGCTGCTCAAACCTCTGCAACGTTTAGGTTTTCAAGCTATGATGCACGAGATATTCGACTAGAAATATTCTTATTATTGCTTTGAGATGTATTCAAGAGGATCCAGCTCCACTTTGTTCAACTTTCACATCCTTATACAGCATAAAAATTTAAAAAAAAAATAAAAAATCTGTATTTTCTCCTATTTTCAGGTGTCAAACTTATTTCTGTACCTTGGTGCTTTTTCAAGCACTAGTCGTTGAACGCGTGCTGTACGAATGTTGTATTTATTGTATTTTTATCAGTGTAGAAATTGTAGATGCTAAAGAAAAAAAAAGTTGTTGAAGATTTATTGCATTATTCAAGAGGCCTGGGCATCGCTAATGCTCTATCCAACAAAGTGATCATTTCAAAAGATGATGTTATTGCATAAAGAAACTCACCAAAAAATAAAATTGAAGACATCACGTGTATGCAGAACATGACAGTTCATGATAATAGAAACACATGTCATGACTTGTGAAATGAATCATATGTTATGACTTGTTATA